TCAAATTTTAGGGATATCAGGTAGTTGTTTTGGGTATTTTGTTTAATGTTAATAGTTGCCATTTTTGAAGGAGATAGTGGAGTAGGAGTTTAATTCTTGGTACCATAAATGGAACTCGTGTGTATTTTAAATCAAGCATGAATTTATAGTAGACTATCTTTTCTTTTTTATTTTAAATAGACTAATAAAAAAGAACAATAGCAAAATATCAACAACATAGACAAAACAAAATAAGGCAAACAATAAAAATGATACAGGGTTTCAGAACAAAGCGATAGGAATTAACAGTGATTATTATATTACATATTGTTATCTTCAACGAAGTTGCTCAGATTACCAGATATAGGCATGCAAAACTGGTCAAAAGGAGAAAATACAGGCAATATTTCCTTTCAATAAACCATTAGACATCAGCAGTACAGTTATCTCAGATATATATATATATATATATATCTTCCTTCTTTCTTTCTTTTCTCCTTTCCCTCATCCCAGTTGTTTCTTCCTTTTAGCTATTTCTTTATCCTTCATAATATCTTTTATTTTAATTTGCTTCAAGTTTTGTTACACAGCCTCTTTTTTACTAGTTATTCTTTATCCTTGAGGATACAGGAAGCACATCATTTTTTTTCCTCTAAGAATACTGCGGTGAGTTTAGCAAAGATTAAGGGGGAAATTCCTTGTTGGATAAACAGTCAGTATCCTCTGTGACTCTCTTCCTTATACTGTAGAGCTGGGGGAAAAGATCTTCAGATTCAGGTAACAGATGTATGATTTAGAATACCACTAACAAATAGATGAGTTAGTATTACATTAAATTGCTTGACGTACATATCTTATGATGGTCAACAAGGCATGAGATATGATATTATCTCACAGAGGAATTTATCACGTTCACTGTATACACTAGATAAAAAACTGGAATTTTCACAGATGGCCACATTACAATTGATAGAAAGAACAATACCTTGTTTGTCTAATATTCTGTGTAACAAAAATATGTAAGATAAAAAATTATCTTAAAAGAGCTTATAATTCTTCAAGAATGCAAAAATAATTCAAAACAAAGCTAAAAATATTGCTGTAGACAGTCATGTGCAATGTAACTATCTGTGCACAGACGAGGGAATAATTAATTCTGATAAAAAGCCTGGAAGCTATTTTTAATCTATACACTTTGTGCAGCATCTTAAAAAATGATTGATTGTGAGAAGGGAATTAGGAAAGGATATTGCAGCCTGAAGAAGCATTATGAATTAATCATCAATCACAGAGGAATTGAGTGTTAAAACAATGTCAACTAGTCCACTGTTAGACTAGTACCACAAAAATCTCAATGAACTAATAAGAAGTGAAAAGGCACAATTATTTGTGGACCAGATCATTAAAGTCCTCAAATGTAGAGCTAAGGAAATTGTAGATATTGGGTCTGACAGTAGCAACCTTGAAATCTATATAAAAATTTACATGGATGCATGCAGACATACATACACACAATATGAAACAACTCATGAAAAGAAATACACTTGTAGTTCAGAAGAGTCATACTTTAAAGACCAAATATGCTATTTTTTGTTCTGATAATCTAGAAGAGCTCTTAGGCGGTAGAAAGAGTCTACCTTGAAATTTTGGTCAAAATATTGAAAACTATGAAAATAAGAGGCTGGGAGCCATGGAGGATCTTAGAAGAAGGACATTCATTTCCAAGAAACTTAGGCAAGTACAGGAGAAGATCACACAACTTGAATTCCCACAGAATGTGAATACGTCAGGCCTGATTCATGAGACTGAATTTACTGTATTTCATCAAAATTTAGATGGCTTCAATTATTTGCACCATTATTTTATGCAACAATCAAAAGATGAAAGCAATTAGAATGTTTCACATAATTAATTATAAGATATCCCAATTTCAAAAGTTGAAATATCTAAAAGTAAATAAATAAGAAATAGTGAAATATATAAACAACAATAACAAAATATTCTTCTACATTTTCCCATAAAATTTAGGGGTTTTTTGTCATATTCTTATAAATAACTCACTTAAGAGTTGCAAAGATGTCAACTTATTTAAAAGCTAATGGCGGTCCATGTAGTTATTCAAATAATTTCTGCCAATAACTCCACTGGAGTTGGATATGACACAACATTATCAAACAAAAGGCAAGAACAAAATATTAATATTACTGTGTTGGGATATTATGAGAAAGAGAAAGCCATTAGTTCAACTCACTGTTACAATTTTTTATTATAGTATAAGAAGCCTTTTTGTTATCTTTGTTGAATTCCAACAGTTCTATTCACTGGGCTGTGCAATTTTAGTACATGGCCAGAAAACCATGTATATTTATCTTTTGTCAATTACTCTATTTCCTTCCAACCACTCAGCAAATATCAATGTTGAGAGACTAAAATTTTATACTCTAAGTTCAAATTTACAATGAAAAGCCACTCTCCCTAAGACTCTGACATGTTTTTCTTTATTTTCCTCATAAATTAGTGCACTCGCGGGCTGAACTTTTACATAATGGCATCGAAGGTCTTCCCACACCTCATTCAGCCTGACAGGTTGGAGAAAAAAAAAACAGGCCTTTTATTTTTACATCAAATTAAAAAGGCAAAACCATCATTATAGTTTTGGAAATAACAAGGATGGCAGAGGTTGCAATGCATCTTTAGAGAGCTGAATAGCCTTTTGATAGTATTTGGATTTGTTTTTGCATTAATCCACAAACTCATAATACAGTAATCTAATAGATTTGGCTGTACCTTTCTCCTTGGGAAAATGATAAACATGCTTTTCCCAAAGAGATACAAATTTTTAAAAGTGCAACTGGTGGAAAAGTAACGGTTGACAAATTAGAAATACATTCATTCTTTCATTAATTTCTGTCCAGGACATGCGTAAAGCTACGTGAATAAATGGGCATATCGGAACTAAGATGTTACAAACGACCGTGTCACCTGCTACATGAAATTTCACTTGAGAACTCAGAAAACCCTGGTAATTTGACATTGAATTCGTTATAAAGGTATATTAAATATGTATCAGATATTTGGCCTACAGAATATCAAATGACTAGTGTTTGCTTTCTCTTTGAAACACTTATGGATTGCAAAATCCCTTTGCCATAGACACCCAAGTCTCTAATTCTAGGCTAAACATATAAAATACCCCTCATTCGAACAGATAAGATTATTTATATTTTTAAAAAAATTTCCGTGCTGTGTCTTACAGATTGTAACATGTTTAATGTACATATTCCAGGAATTTAGAATCATGTATCTCTGTCTGTTAACTTGTATGGGATATAGAAACTACCACATGTGTGTTGTGTAAAACCATTCTATTTTTCGTTATTTTTTAAAACAAGTGACAAAGCTTTGCTATATCTCTTTACAGTCCTTGTGTAATCACAAAATTTCTTTCCTTGGTTAATAGTGTTCCCTTTCTATTTTTGAATCAATGGTTAAATGTATCATTTTTATGGATTTTTGTTCCCCTGGTGTGTCACTACATAAAAGTACTGAGGAGGCATGAAGAAGCCAGACAACAGGTGAGAGGCTAGATAATTTGGAAATGTTTGGAGGCGTGCAATAAAATCTCGGCTCAAAATATCATGGATGATGAAGAAAATCTGTCCGTGAACACGGGGAAGCATATCATAAGCCTATAGGAGGCTGCTTGCCAGGTGGAGGATGTGGTAGATCAATGACTTCACGAAGGAGCCAAGGTGTGTGTGTCCTTGTAGCTGCCTATTCCATGGATTCTCTCTTTACAGTGGCTTCCACTGAGACGTGGGTTGCCGTTCCACACGTCACCTGAAGACCTGACAGATTCCAGAAGAAGAGAAATAGTGCATTTCTCCAGAGTCCTTTTTACATGATGTGGCGGATGACAAAATGTCTGTGCCAGAAAACTGCAGCATTTTTCTCTATATGCTTAATGGCCGGGGTTACTCATGTGCTGATTTTCTTTTTTATTATAAACGCTCAATATATTATACGAATCTGTGGCATATGGAGTGACATTTTTGGCATATGGGGACAATGGAGAATAACAAAATCAAACTAGTTGACATATCCTTCACCTCAAATACTTGACATTTTGAGGTGAGAACACCTGAAATTTACTTTTAGAAATTTTCAAATGGATAATACTCTATTGTTAACCGTGACGTGAAATACGTTTTTTAATTCTAAAAAACCAACACTTAAAATCCAGCAAATTGTATTCACTATGCCTGAGACTTTGCACCATGCGACGTCATCGCTGTATCCTCCCCATCCTTCTGGGCCTCGGTAATCACCACCACCCAAGTGAACGACCCGGAGCAGCAGGGCCGCTCAGTGAACTGCCTGGCCCCGTGGCGGGCTGGCACACCTTGCATTTAATCTAACGTCAGAACTCTTTATTCTATCTGTGGGCTGCTGAAATCTTTCAGAGCAAGTGAGTCTTTTTACCTTCCACAAATCAGGAACAACTTTTTTGCCTTGTCAGATGCAATGACCGGGGAATTCAGCCCTTATCAGCTACATCGCACTGACGACTTCCCGTGCTGCCTGTTTTGCTGATTAATACGGATTGCAAAAGCAAGGAAGAGTGTGTGTGTGTTTGTCGAGGGCGCACCACATGTGACAAGAGTGAAAAGAGGAAAATAGGCCGCAGCCTTCAGAACAGTACAAACTGACGAGTTTACTTTCCAAATGTGAGTGTATTCATCTACTATGTCTCATGGACCAGGGTCAGCCAGTTTCTTTATTGACAGACCATGCTTCCCACACTTCTCAACCCTAACATATGCTACTACCTTCCAGTACTTCTCCTTTCACAGCGTTATTTATTCTGTATTTCCCTAATTGATTAGTTACTTTCCTATCACACGCCTTCTCTCACCAATTAGCATTATCTCTCCTACCGCTTCTCTTTTCTTTCCTCACTTTTATTCATCTACTTTTATTAGTATTTCTTACTTGCCACTTATCTATTTTAATACCTTAAGACTCTCACGGATCTGAAGGCTCTGCGCGCATTTCTCAAAGGATGACAGTAAATCCTTCCCCATCCGCCTCCCATGGATTTAGCAAGGTTGAGTTCATCCTTTGAAGTTCAGCTTGCTGAAGTCTGCAGAAACGGAAATGACCAGACGGTGGCACTGTGGAGCGCCAAGTTTGGTGCTCACCTATGAGACACAGGGTTTAATCAATATTCATATTCTCTAGTGACTCCAAATTTTAATATTTTGTGGCCTAAAAATTATTCTGAAAATGAACTTTAATCAAAACGAAGCAGATTCTTTATTACAAAATACACATTCCCGGTGATTTATTTATCTTGATTTGAGTCTTCTTAGAACACCTATGTCGTTACCATTTAATGCCTTTATTTCTGTCCTGACCAAAAACCTAATATGAAATATTAACACAGAATATGTAGGTCATTCATGTGGTGTAGCCGACAAGAGTTACATTCCCTGATTATTTAGCCTCAGGAGCCAAGTGTTTGCTTAGTTTGTGGAAGGTGATAAGCTTCACTTACCCTGAAAGTATTCATTGATAAACAAGGTAGAATAAAGAATAATGATGCCAGATTAAATAGAAGGTATAAAAATGAGCGCTTCTTGTAACGAAAATAATACATTTGGGTAGATAGGGAGAGGAGAAAGTGGGATTTCTTCTACAGTGACCATCAGTGTAGTATAGTCTAGTAACAGCTGTACTGCTTAGGTTTGCTGCCGAATCACAAAACCTGAAGTTATGGGGCCTCATTAGCCTTATCATTTATTGCCATCTTCAGATACTAAGGACAATGATATTTCTCCCAGACAGCTCCATTTCTTTACTCTGCCTCTCATGTTGGACAATCTCAGTCATTACACACACACACACACACACACACACACACACACACATCCCAGCAGGGTGTAGAGATTGAGGGCAAGATCCCTTGAGTTCAAAGTGCACATAAATGGAACTGATTTAATCAGTACTGGCAGCTGTATGTCTTAGTACACGTGGATGCTGTAACAAAGCATCAGGGATCGAGTTGCTTATAAACAATGGAAATCTATGTCCCATGATCCTCAGATTGGAAACTCCAACATTGAGGCTTAGCCAAATTTGGTGTCTACTGAGCACTCATTTTTGAGTTCAAAGAATGCATCTTCTTGTGCTGTCTTCACATAACTAAAGGGGCAAGTGAGTCACCAGCCTGTTTTCTAAGGGCTCTGATTACACTCATGTGGAAGCCACTCGCACCTAAACATTTCTGAAAGTCCTGTCCTCTTGATGTCCTCTTAATCCTTGGGGATTAGGATTGCAACACAGATGTGGGAGAGGAGTGTGTCATTCAGATCACAGCACTGTCCCTTTGTTTTAGATGCCAAAATCTTTCTAGACCCTTGATTTTAAACATATGCAAAGTTATTAAAATATTCTTTCTTTAACTTGATTTTCCCATCTCATTTATCATATAGTGAGCAGCATAGAAAAATATTTCAGAAAATTTGTTGTTGTATCTCATACATACAAGAAATCCAAGATGTATATATAGCTAAAATAATCATATTACTAATTTCTATTATTTCATTGAAAGACACAGTTAGTGCTTATATTGTCTGATCAATCTTATATGCCTATATCTGGTAATCTGAGCAATTACTTTGAAGATAACAGTATGCAATATAGTAACCACTGTTAATTTCCTATCATCTTGTTTTGAAATCCTGTGTTATTTTTATTGTTTTTTATTATTGTCTGTAAAATTTTAAAAAATGGGGAAAGAAAGAAATCCAGGGTCAAGAAGACTTGAGTCCAAACTTAAAATCTATTTTCCATTTCCCTTAAATGAGAAGCAATGGTTTCCTAATATTTTTATAAAAATATGGTCTTTTGGTGTCCGATAGATTAAGTTTATTCTTAAAAGGGAGCAACAGGCTGACCATACGTTAATTATGGGGCTGATATTATTCAGAGACTAAAATTCCAGAAGATATTAAATACCAATAAAAGCCAAAAATAGGGTTCAGATTGGTGTTTCTTGCTTTTTTGCTATGAGACAAAGTTACATATTCACCTGGGGTTTATATTTTACTAAGTCATAGGTCAACCTTAGTCAAAACATTACTAAAAAGTGTTCTGATCTGGACATGGTAGTTCAAATGTGTGATTGTGTAATATCAACACTCTGGAAAGCTGAGGCAGGATGATTTCAAATTTGAGCCCAGCCTGGGAAATTTACAGACTTAGTGAGACCTTGTCTCAAAATATGAAAAATAAATAAGAGGCTTGGGTTCTAATCCCTAGTACTACACACATACACACACACACACACACACACACACACACACACACACACATTAAAGTTCTTATTCATGCTACTTACCATGAAAATCATTGAAAATCTTGTAAAATTTTCAAAATTTCTCCTCAGGTAGACATATTTCAACAACCAGTTTTTAACTAAGAATGTTAAACAGTTATGCAATCACAAACATACTGATACGCAATTTTTTTTCTGCAAAGTAAGAGTAATTTTAATTAGATTTTGAAAATTATATCTCATTTAATTTTTTTTTTCCAGTACTGGGAATCAAACTTATGACCTCGTGCTTGCCAGGCAGGCGCTGTGCCACTGAGCTAAATCCCCAGTACCTCTCATTTAATTTTGTAAGAATGAAATCAGCTAGTATATTGGGAAGCATTTAACTATTACCTCCTATATGTTTCACGCTAAAAAAAATTGTTGAAAAGAAATTTTCTGGCCATTCCTCTGGTGTAGGAGGAATGTTCCCTTCACAAGCCCCTGTCCTAATTATGGAAACTTGTCAATGTATTAACCTTACACAGCAAGAAGCAATTGGCAGATGTGATTAAAGTGCTCAGTAAAAAGATTACTCTGGATAAGCTGCATGGGCCCAATAGAGTCACAGAGACCTGGAGTCATTTCTGGGTAAATGAATGCACCATGAGGCCATACTTGGAAGTGAAATAAATGAGGCACACAATTTTAAATATTGCATTGTGTCACTTGTGTGAGAATCCTTAAGGGTAAAGAAGGAGTGAAATGGAGAACAGACCCTGGGAAGTAGGAAGAACATATTCAAATGGGAAGCGAAACGAGGGAGGGGGCGTGAGAAGGGAAAGGGATTTCCAAAGAACAAAGAATGGAAGGAAGAAAATGGAAATAAAGTTTCTGTAAAAGGGGAGGGAAAGGAGTGTTGAAGGGAGGAAAGCGGAATGGGGAAAAAAAGAATTAAAATGTACTACTTACAGGTACAAATTCCTTATGATGAATGTGGGCACTGTGTATGGCAAATACGTACTACTAAAAAATAAAACTAAAAAAAGAAAAATAGCCAGAAGTCGTGGTGCACGCCTGCAATCCCAGCACTCGGGAGGGTGAGGCAGGAGGATCGCGGTAAATTCAAGGCCAGGTTGGGCTAGGAAGTGAGTTCAAGACCAGCCTGAACTGCAAAGTGAGACCCTGTCTCAAAAAGACAAAAAAATAAAGAGAAAGCAGAAAAAAAGAAAAAGAAAAGATTATGTTGGATTATCTGCATGGGCCCAGTACAGTCACAATTGACCTGGGAAGGAGAAGGGTTACAGCCAGGTAGGTTCGAGGCAATGACAAAGCAGAAAGAAAAGACGTCATAGTACTGGCTTGAAAGAAGTGGGGAGGGTTCTGGAGCCAAAAAGGCAAGCAGCAGCTGGAAACCGCAAGACACTGAACAGCCTCTTCCTGGAGCTTTCCTGCCGACACTTTGCTCTTTGCCCTGTAGACTCAAGTGCAGATTTTTAAATTTCAGAACTGGAGGAGAAGAAGTCTAGGGTTGCTTTAAATGACTGTATTTGCAGTGATCTGTTACAGCAGCAGAGGGGAAGGAATGTACTCCTTGTCAGTGTTTTAGACTTCCCAAGACAATATCCGAATTCTTTAGTAGTAGGCGTCTTCTCTGCCCTGATTTTGCAGCCAAATGATGAGAAGACAGAATAAGGAAGAAAAGATAAAAAGGAAGGAGAGAGGGAAGGAGGGAAAGAAGGGAAGAGGAAGGAAGGAAGGAAGGAAGGAAGGAAGGAAGGAAGGAAGGAAGGAAGGAAGGAAGGGAGTGACAACAACAAATATTACAGCAAGGTGGTTAGAGCCAAAGCTCTATTACAAACGCAGCAAAGTAATGAGATATATTTTATGGGAGAAATGGCAAACTGCAGAAGCTTTATTGCTGCTGCTAAGACAGATGAATTTCAATGCAAATAGCTACTCCAGTGTCAAGTGCAATGAAGTCTTAAATGGGATAAATAATATCCGGTATTGCTTTAAGAAAAGAATGATACAGCAATAAAATACCTGTATTCTTGTTCTTCTGGGAAGGTGACGACGCTAAGAACCACTTAGTCATTTCCAAGAGTAACAAGTATGCTTTCAGTAAGGAGGAGGAGTAGGCGCTGCTTCTGTTCTGCGGAGGAGCTCTGCTAGTGTCGCATGGCATTGGATCCTTAAGTCGGGCTTTTGTTTTATCTCGTATGAAACACGAAAAAGCTGTGTTCATGAGAGGACTAATGTCACTGAGTCTCAAGTCAAAGAGTCAAGAGTTGAGGTCAGTTTAAGAACCACTCAGAACTAAAAAACTCAATGAGAAACCCACAGTTTAAGGCTTCTCTGTCTCCCGACTCCAGGTCAAACACTCGTCCTTCCTGTCCACCAGGGGGCAGCCTTTCGATGCTGTCGCTCCATGCTGCGCCAACTTGCTCAGAATTAAAGAGAGTCATACCCGGCAAACTTCCGTTTCTCCAGAAAAAAGACAGGTGTCTGCCATTTTCTTGTTGGTCGATTTAATTTTGTGCTTTATTTTGTTTTCCCTTACAAGGTAAATCTGTGGGAAAAGAGACAAGTTACTGTGAATGAGTTCTTTCAATTTTCAACTCTTCTTTGATCAGCAGCTTCTCATACAAAGGAATTTGGAGACCCTTTGCTCTATGTAGAACACAAAATACCTGAAGGTGAACCTTTCTTCATACCCTAGAAAAGGAAGCTACAGTTGTGGAAGGCAATATCTGTCTTGCTTATATGTAGATTGAGATAGATACTGATAATAATTCTTAAAATGGGAAGGATATTGGCTTTAGAAGCAAAAACAAAGCCAATATTTTTCTTCATATTCCTGCTGAATTACTAATGGTTTCTACAAAACAGTTGCACCTAGAGCACCTCAATCCCTGGATAAGTATGCTTGAATGTTCAAGTTTCTATTTTTTTTCTCTAGTACATAAACACAAGGATAAAAATTGACCCTGTCCACTACCCTCAAAAGATACATTTTATGGTGCAACTATTCTCTCTTGTCTGCCTGATTCCTGGAGCTGACTTTGTACTGGCATTTTGTGTATATTTTATATTTTGGGAAACTTTTGGTGTGTTTGTTCACATAAGAGACATCAGTTGTTTAATCTCTAAGTTGCTTTCTTGGATTAGTCAGCTATTGCTGAGTAACAAACTGGTTTTATTTCAGTGGAAGAAAACCCAAATTAAGGGGTCTACAAGTCAGATAGGAAGTTTTTTTGGTCTGAATGAGGGTCAGGAGCACAGCTGCAGTTAGCTGTAGGCAGGGGAAAGATATCTTTACTTCCTTTACTTGGTATCTCTAATATTCTTTCAGAAAAATCTAGAGTGGCCCTGTTTGGTATAACTCTGACCTCTTCCACACAGGCCCTCACCCAATCAGGCTAATCTGGATTTGATCACATAGCAGTGACAGTTCTGAGAGAAAATGTGGAAAAACATTAGGTCACCAGTGTACACCTGACACGTTACTAATTTCAGTGCAATCTCTGGGCTGTAATACGTCACATGACCAGTCAGAAGCAGGGCAAATAGACACCATCGCCTAAAGGAAAGAGTTGCAAAGAACCTTTGGAGGAGAGATAAGTACAGAGAAATCTTTTATAATCAAACTCATACATCTCTCTATGTTATAAAAATAGTCTATATTCCATGATGCTACTTTAGCAAAGAAAATTATGCTAAACCTGCTTTTAGCTTTGAATACTGGATTTGGGCCAATAGTTTTGACAATCTACGTATATGTCTTGGACCATTTGGTTCATCACTTAATTTTAACTATTCAGACCTTCCCCAAAATATAGTGGAAAAACTGCTCATGGATAGATAAAATAATAAAAGAAATCTAATATGTGCATGAGTTCTAATACTGCAGGTTCATCAGATGCCTTTACTTCTGCTGTATCTTTTAAGGAAAAATAGATCACAAAACAAAAACCAAACAATTAATAAAATCTCTGGTTCTTCTTCAAATTAGCAAAAATGCACACCCCTTACTTAGTTTTCTAATTCTTTTTTGTAGCTTTTGTATTTGTGGTTTTGTCTGGGCTGGAGCATTTCAATACCATGTGTATGCCAATAATTAAACTGGTTCTAACAAGGAAATTTTGCAAGGACGCTGGGCAATTTTCCACCCGCAGGGCCAAAGAATGTTGTTAAGCACCTAGAAAATTCATTCTTGGAACTCCACAATTTCTTCTTTTTTCACACTGGAGCTGCCATGTTCATTTTGTGTGAGTGAGCCTTTTCTTCCCAGAGAAGTGAGGTATGCACTTTTGTGTGGTGTTTCAGAGTGTTTTCTTCTAATAAGGACATCAGAGGGGCCTGTTGGCCACTAGGTTTTAGCCGTATTCTCCATGGGCTTTCTGTGACCCTCTGTGTGATTTTTCACATGAACAATCTCTAAAAACAACAAACAACTCTACATAACACTTGTACATTCCATTCTCTAGAAACTAGCCATTTATCTCTGAGGAGAAAATCCTCTTCTTTCAGTGTGTGGTTTCTGAATAGGCTGCAGAGTAAGGTGCTTTTTTTTTTTTTTCCTGTAAATCTAAGATAAAAATCTCACCTAAGGGGTAGAGGTGCAGTCCATAAAGCCAAGCTTTGTTCTCTCTACTTTCTATATTTTCTTTAAATGCTCTTAGTTGCTAAAGTCTTATTTTCAAATATTTATGCAAAAAATACCTGCTGGAAAAGGCTTAGTTTAATTACAATGCACTCTTGTTAATAGTTTGTAAAGGGCCTCTGGGCTTTTCTTTAGTGCCAATTAATTATGGATATACTAGACGGAAAGATTCAGTTATCCAAAGGGGATATTTTTGATAAAGGCTCTTAATCATACAAAAGCTTACTTCAGAATTTTCCCTACGTGGTAAAGAGACTGTTGCTTTTTTATGAGGCAATAGTTCTGAATCATGGTAGCTAAACAATAAAAAACCAGCTGCAATATATGTAGTGTCTTTGTCCTCCTAGACTCATTTCCCAAATTTTAATTTCACAAGAGATAAAGCACCGAAGTTATTCCATCCAAAGGCATGTACATCGTTCAGTTTTACATCTGTCTTGAATCTCACTTGTTTATCTATCCTAGAGAAGCAAGGGTGAGCAGTCTCCATTCCTGTTTGTTGAGTTACTACCTAGAAATTCTCATACAGTATTTCTCTGCTGGGCTTGACTTACTCCTATGCATTAAGAAGTCTGTTTTCTTTTTTTATCATCAGAGCTAAGCATTTTTGAGCTCTTTTATTACATGCCAGGGAGAAAAGTTGAATTGGATTTCTGAGGATGGGACTACTCGAAGGCCTTGCCTTGGGGTGAGAGATGGAGAAAGTGGTCCCAAGAGGAGGGCAACCACTCTTTCATAGCTGCTTTCTTTCTGCCCAACTGTTCTTTTAATTTCTTTAGGAAATGGCTGTTTGCGGTTGTGGTTGTTTTTGTTCTATTGCCAGAAGAGGTAATAGTTCGGTTGTCAGCAGTTCTCCACGGAGTGCTGAGCGGTCTTGGAGTTCAGCCCTTTTGAGATCAAAGTGTTACAAATTTCCTCCGGCCTCCTTTCCTCTGACCTATTCCAGGCTCTTGCCAGGTGGGCCGGCTGTAGCTCGCTGTAGTTCCCTCCCGCACAGCCCAAGTCCCCAGCTTTCTAACTTTGCCTTTCCAGCATTATTCCATCTACTTCCCTTTGACAGCACTTTGTTTCTCTGTCTTTGCTGATGCTTCCAGCAATTCCCCAGTCAGTACACATTCTCTTTCCAACTCCAGGCTTAGACTCTTTTATTTTTCTGCCTGCAATACTAAGTGGAGAGAGAATAAAGTTGTTTAGCTCTGCAAATAAAAATACAAGACAGTCGACACTCAGTTACAGGTTAGATTCAGATAAATAATAATTTTTAAGGCATGAATATATCTCTCATAATATTGAGGATAGAATTGCTCTGAAAATATTTGTCTATCTGAAATAAAATGTAACTGGGTATTTTATACTTTATCTGGCCATCCTAAGATTAGACGTCACTATCTGTACATTTAGCTGCTATCTTTAATTAGAAGTTTCTCTTAGATTCCAGATACTTCCTCTCTTTTTTCTAGCAGTCCCAAGCGCCAAGGATACTTGACAGCAGACACAGGTCATTTTGACTTCCTCATACTTTCTGCATTTCTGTGTAGCTCTTCACTATCTGCCTTATTGCCTTGTTAGAGTAAAATAGAACATGCACTTGCTCTAAGTGACCTTTCTTTGACCTTTTTCTGAGACAGTAATAACCTCATTGCTAAAATCCATATGCTTATAGGACCATATTTATTAATGTTTGTACAGAACCTATTTCAAAGTTCAGGCTCAGTAGAGACAATCCTTTCATAGTTCAGGTAATTTTTCCAGAGAGGTGAAGGAGGGACATCGTTTATTTTTTACTTCTTTTAATTACACTGTACCTTTTTCATTTCATCTTCATGTGAACAAGTCGAAGGACAGTATATTTACAGATGCAGACGGCCTGGCTTTATTGCTGTGAAATAGAATGGCCCAAGCTGATAGCTAACCATGCTATTTAATTATTGTCAGGAAAAAATAAATAAAAGACTCAATAATCTAAAATCACCTTGATCATTTTGGATGCCTCACACCAGTTAGCCAACTTATACACCCCACTCTCTTAAATAAAAAGTCAGTGGTCTCATTCATTTTAAGTTAAATTTTGAAACCTGTTAATTCAGAAAGATTCCTTAAATTTCCACCCTTTACTGTTTGCAAAGCTCCAGTTAATGAGTTTCTTTGGGGGCTTGCTTGTTTGTTTGCTTTGTCATTGCTGTGGTTCTGACTAATCTGAGATACTCATCATTTGTTAATTTGACTTTACAGTGTTTTGGAGTCGTTACTGTCATCGCCACCACAGTGCTGAAAATGCTGGGAGTCGGGGCAGGGTTCTCAATTGGCCATGGGTTTCAGTGAAGCTGGGATTAGTTCTCGGTGACAATTCTGACTCTGTTCATGAGTCCTGTGATCACTCCTTGTAAAACCAGGATGCTTCTATTTCAGCGTGGGGTTCCTTACCATTTGGAAAAAGTTGGTTCAGGGTAGCTGCGATTCAAGCTCTCACAGGAGAACAGGAGCTAGAATGTGTAACTTAAATTTTACCAGAGCTACTTCAGTAAGAGAAAAGGTATGCCTAGACAAGTACCAGGCAGATATACCATCTTTATTTCTCTGTGCTCCAAGACTCCATCTGTGGCATAAACAAGACAGTAAGGATGTTGGGACCCTCTGTGCCCCTTCCTCCTACCCATCTTAATTATCATTGCTGCCTCACTTTATTTAGTTCTGTCATATAAATAAATCTCAAATAATTGGAGTCATGCAAGTCATAGTTTACCGCCAGCACATTGCAGAGGGTGCTGGACACTTCATTTACACAATATCTTTTTTTTTTAATAAGGATTTCAGGGTTCTTCCCAGATCCCAGTACATAGAATCACTGTATTTCTCTTTGGAAGTCTACTTCTTTTTATCGTCTATCTATGACTCTAATGAGATGTTTACATCTCTTCAGAGGTGATTGGAAACCTGCAAGTAAACTCTGAAGATTATGAATAACATTGAACTACAGGAAAAAAAATCATTTTTAGCCTTACGCACAAGATCCAAGGCTTATTTTTGTTTATTTTAGTTTCTTCACTAATCTCATTTCTGGCTTTATTTTTCTTCCTCTAGTTTCTTTTTGTTCTAATTTTCTCTTCTATTTTTAAAAACTTTTATTTGCTAAATCTGTTAAACAAAGGGTGAGCACCAACATTTTAAAAATTAAAGCAATGAACGATAAATTGACAGTTTAAAAACTAAAAATATTGAAAGCAGAAAAAAAATTAACCTCTTTACTATGGATACATTTTTCATTTTCCAGAAAGAATTTTTAACACTCATCACCTAACCACGAGTAAATTAATTATATTTTTCAGAAATATTTTTATAAATTTTTAATATAACCTTGGGAAATACTAAATTGTTTTTAATATATCTATTTCACTTGGTGTGTATTTTTTTAAAAATTATTTTTAACCAAAGATGTGCCTCTAGCTTGCAGAGTTGAAAGGATATATTCTGAGTTCTGTTTAACCTAAAGGTAGAAAAAGCCCCAGGAGTACAAATTCCCAACCTGACAATAAAAAAGCTGGATAATCTATTAAAGCCCATAATTTATTGAATGCGTCAGATTGCTGAGGTGTCTCGGCAACCAAATGAACTACATCCCTAACAGCAACAAGCCACTGCATGGGTTCTGACACATGACTGCTTCATCATTTTAAGAACAAAAGAGGAAGAGGAGACTTCCCTAGAATACAGCAAGAAGAAATCAGCTAAAATTTCAGGAAATATCTGAAGGCCCTATTTTCCTTTGGTGCAGCTGCGGGCCCCAAGCACAAAATGGATTTGCACATTTGTAAGCTTTTTTCAAAGGCTTCTACCAAGTGCTAAAGAATGAGATAAGTCAAAAAAAAATGCCCCTTGTGTGGCCCCTGCACAACAGGCTTGGAACACTACTGGCTTCTCCAGATCTGTTTCTTATGGGAAAAAGCCTAAAACACTCCTGTCCCCTTAGCCGAGACAAAGATCCATTGCTTCCTTGTGAGGGACAGAAGGAAACACTCGTAGAAAGTATGCAACTTTCTCAGGACCTGGATGCTACCAGGAATTACAGAGCCGAGTTGTGCTTCCTCCCTAGGAATAGACCAGAAAAGATTCTGCTGTTCAAAACGTACCACAGATATAAGAGATAGTTTGGCGGCCACAGAGAAGGGGCACAAGAATGCCGAGGAAAAGCCATGTTCTAGACCAGGTGCGAAGTTGGACCAGGAAGAACCTAGAATTCTCCCGATTTCATCACATGGCTGACATCACAGAAGAAACAAACACCTGTGTGATCTATCATTGAGGAAAGACAGGAGAACAAAAAGAGAGACCTTGTGCGGTTTCCTCTGCGCAGGCGGGGACATCTCCCTAAGAGGTTGTGGGAATCTTGACACACTAGAGTCTCATTTAGGACTATGAAGTCTGTGACAAGTAAATCATACATAGGTTGCTGCCAAAGGACAAAATTTTAGTTTAAAAATCTTAATTAGCTTTATTTTAATTTGTACAACTGGGTAAAACTTTATCTATAACATAGAGTAAATACCCTGATGAAAAGATGAAGCTGGTTTTATATGCAGAAAAGGGCTGGAAAAAAGCAGAAACAAAGAATGTAAAGGAAATTAATTGGTCACTTCAAAGTTATGTTCTTTAGAAGACTGGGACAGTGAGACAGAGCAGTAGGAGAATAACTGATTGGTTGACCCCAGTTTACTTTCAATTATTTTTTTTTGTGTGTGTGTGTAAGGATTAGGGCAGAGGAACTTCATTATCATGTCAATTAAAACAGTCTTGTTTGGGCAATCTGGCTGGTATATTCTCTCCTTATTTGTTGCAAGACCAAAACACAATTTAATTTGAGCTTGGTGATATGGAACTTCAGCTCAAGTGACCATCCTTTAGGCCCATGCAAAAACTTAGTCCTAGACAGTGGCCAGATATGAATTTTGTTTAACACTATAGAAAATCAGAATAAAGAGAAAATCTGGAGGTCATCAGAGGAAAAACAATATACAAATACATGCAGAGAAACAGTGACTTGTAATAATGCACACTTTTTTCAGAAACTATGTGTATTAGTTTCCCAGGGATGCCCTAACAAATTATTATAACTCAGTAACATAATACAAAAGAAATTAATTTTCTTACAATTCTACAGGCTCTAGGTGAATGCAAGATGTCCCAGAGCCAGGCTTCTTCCCTGGCTGGTTCTGGGGATGAACCAGCTTCATAGCTGCTTTCTGCTTCTGGGATTGCCTCTGTCCTTGGTATCTAAATGCATCACACAAATTGCCACCTTGCTATTTACTTGGCCATTTTCTCTGTGTGTTTCATTGTCTCCAAATCTCCCTCCTTTATAAAGGCAGCAGTCATTGAATTAGGGCCCACCTTCATAATGTATGGTCAAGTTTTAACTCCAGTGCATGTGCGTATGCTCTGTGATCTCAGAGAGAGGAAGTCCACAGTTTAACACATATCTCTTTCAGGGACACAATTTAACCCAGACCAGATGTCCAAGTTTTAAACTAAATGAAGTTGCAATCTGCAGTTAGATAGTGGAGGAATTAATTTGTTAAATCCCTAAATTCTCATTAATTGGTTATGTAAATAGTAACGTGAGTGTGTCCCATAATGCAGTTCACTGTGTATGAAAATAAACTCTTGAATGCATTTGCAAAAAAATAGATATTTGTGAATGTGTCCATGAAAGATGCAGAAACTTTTGAAAATAATTCATCCTTTGTTATTTTAAATGCAAATAACATAAGCTGATAAATCTCAACATTTAGAATATTTACACTATTTTTCCACTGCTATTTTATTGTCTCATATTTGAACCTCTTTTCTCTTGTGATAATTATTCTATTTTTTAATGTACTGCCGAAAAATTATGTTTTTGTGTGTTTGTGTGTGTGTGTGTCTATTACTTGTGGAAGAACTAAAGACAAGTCATATTTATACAAAGGACACGTTGTTGAATCAATCCTTGTTTCTAGGCTTCTGAGCAGCTACTGTGACATGTGAAAAATGATCTTAATAGAGCATTTCTTTTGGAGACCTTATAGTTGTATGCGATGCCATAGCCCAAGGTGATGGTGTCTTCACTTTCATGCTATCTTTTGTCCCAGAGACAATTTTTGCTTTAGTTACCCCAACTGACATTGGAATACAGTCAGCAATGTTTTATTCATGAAAGTAGATCTTGTGAATATAGCTCTCAATACACCAGAGAGATAAAAATATCTCTACGATTGCACCTAAACTAATCTGCAGTTGTGTAACAAATTGACACATAAATTAAATTTCCACTGCTAATGCCTGCTTAACTTGTAATCATACTTCAGTTTGGAATTCTGCTAAAGTAATTAGTTTAGCCTCAGATTTACTGATCAGAGCTCACTGAAAATTGGAAAGTATAGGGACTTCTGTTCTTAAACATGTTTCACATACGGAAGATTTCAAAGTCAAACTCATATAGCAGTGCCTAGTCTTCTACATTTTATTGAATTTGATCAGCTTCTACATAGTTTTCCCGTTGAGGCTTTATTTATCCTATTGTCAGAATGTCTGCATTTCTTATTCTATGTTTTTTGTTTACTCTTCACGGTCAACTCCTGGTGGTATAGAATTCTTTATTTTCTATATGACTGATCTTTGGGTGGTGGACAGTACTTACTGTGACAGTGCTTAAGAAAATTTCACACTTTCATGTTTGGATTCACCTTCTGAAAGAAAGAAGAATTGAGCCATTTTTATAAGCTCTTGGGAACTGTTCGAATTTACTCTGGGGTAGAAAAAGCAGTTGCTTTCAAAGCTCTGAGGAATATTAAAAAAATGCTCCCAGGCTTAAAAATATAAAGGCATTACAGCCTTTCAAAGACGTTAGGCCTGGGAGCCTAAGGTAATGTTTACAATAGAGTGACAATCACTGCAAGAGAAAAATGTAAAATATAGATGAAGTTGAAAAGAATACCTATAAATTTTGTCCTAAAGAAAGGGAGTTCATTCATGGGCTGACACATTAAAAGACTGAAAAAATCAGTGTGATTACTTTACAGATGTTCTGAACTTGCAAATTAAAAGTAGGAAGCACTTATTCATGCATTAGATTTATTAATATGGACTCTTAATCTGATTGACTCTTTGGTCTGTTTTTAGGTCTGTACTTTAACAGTAGAATGTTACCTTATCTTCCAGATATTGAAGTCACTACTTTAGACCTGTCCTGTACACACACACACACACACACACACACACACACAACACACAGAGTAAATAAAAAATTAAGTAAGTGAAGGTATTGTTTACAGAAATAACATTTGGGGCCGCAGGCACAGAGATGGTCTTTAATCATTTCTCCCTAAGAATCACCATTGCATAGTCCTTTTCTGAATCATGTGTGACCAATAGTATGTAGCAGAAATGATAGTATGTTGATCATGAGGTGCTATATACTTTTTATTTTTGGGTGGACTCTTGTGTTGATCCTAATTCACTCTCTATTTGTTTAGTTTTCTCTTTTTGATATCTCTGCCTGTCTATCTGTCTCTCTATCTCTTTTTCCCTCTCTTCCTCCTTCCCTTCCTCCCTCCCTTGTAGAGAATCAGATGGTCCATGGAGAAGCTCATGGACTGAGCTCAAACTACTGAGGCTCCAACAAGCATATGTGTAAGCACGGGATCAGAACCTTCACCTGTAGTCAAGCTTGAGATGAGATGCAACTGCATCTTAGAGCTGGGCTACTGTCTGAGAGCCCTGGAGCAGAGCCACCCAGCCTCAGCACACTCAGATGTTGCTGTCATGCGCTCTCTACAATAACAAAAATATGTTGTTTCAAGCCATTATGTTTAGAGGAATTTATAATACAGATGTCCTTCAAAAATCCTATTGCAGTCTTAACATTAAAACGTTCTGACTACATTCATGCCTGTCTACATTTTTGTCTTTATCTAGCCTTTTTAACTGCTTTATTACTGAGCATATAGAATAAAGTACCCATAGGATTGCTGTAAAGTTGGCAGACCAGAATACTTTTCTTTAAAGGCAATTATCTTCCTCCCTATTAATTTTATCCATACCATGCCTTCTGGCAAAAACACACGTTTTCCTCTCTCTATTTTACCTTACTTTTTAAATGTTATCCATTAAATCAATACTTCTTACATTTTATACAGGGCTAACCTAGAATACTCGCACCATTTTCTTCATTGACTTAATCTTAGGTCTAAAACTGGTTTCTCAAAGCTGCTCAGAGTCAGTTTTATGACTGTTAGTTGACTATATGCTTACCTTAATAAAAATAAGGTAAGAGCAACCATTCATTTCTACTTCAAGCTCATAGGAAAATATTTTTTAAAAACCCTTAGAAAATACCTCTAAGTTTGTTTTATGTAAAATGTTTAGTAGTGTTTGTCATGGAATGCTTCTGTTACAGTCCATAAGACATAATTTGAGACTCCATGCTACACAATAAATATCTTTCAATTCGGGAATTTTTCTCATCCATCTTTTTATTTTCTGAATCTCACCCAGGGACACATTTTTTAATACATTGCTGAACTGAGCCTGAGTGATTTGATCTCTACTGTCATTTCTTTTCCCACCGGCTCATTAGTAAAGGCAATAATAATGTAAAATGACTAGAAGGAAAGGAAGTACATTAAGAGTGAATTTAATGTGCAAAATGGGTAATCAGTGTCTAAAGAATGGAAGCTAAAATATTCTGTATATGAGTGTACCTGATACAGATCTTTAAAGGACAATTAATTGATCTCATATACATCCTGGAATTATGTATCCATGTTTGACAAATAAAGACCATCAGCTATTACATTTCATAGAAATTCACATTAAACATCTGAATCAATGCCTGAAAATGACTGAAAGAATGGAAAAAAATCTTTCTTCCAGGTGTGCAACTTAATTTTTATGATCTTGTGTCTACTAGACACGTAATTGGTAACATTCCCCAAGATGCTTTTAAAATCCCTTCCATGACATTAAAGGTCTTTCCGATATGGAGTCTTCCATCCCATTCCAGGCCTCTCTCCAGGGTCAGAATTAGCAAACAAAATCAGCAAAGTTAAGAAACCAGTAAACTTCAAATTTCACATGATCTCACAAAATATTTTGTAAGAGTTAAGAGTAGCAGAAAATAACCGTTATTATGGGTTGGATCTAAAATGTCCACCCTGTAAAAGGTGATTACTCTAA